ATCCTTTTACAATTAGGCTTTCTGTTTTCTTATATTTAAGATATGTTTCTAATAAACAGCATAGTTAAGTTTTATTTTTAAACTTTTTACTCAATCTTTAATCCCTTTAATTTAATATAATTACTATGGGGGTTTGATAGTTATTAGCATACTATTTGTTTTCTTTATAACTTATCTGTTTTATATTTTTATGTCTTTTCTTATCTTCTTTAGAATTAATCAATTATTTTTCACTATTCAATTTTCCCTCTACTACTTTGTTATACATTTCTTTGTGTTTGTTTTATTGTGGATAACATAATTATTAAAACATGCATCTTTGAAATATAAGTTATTACTTTCTCACTGCCCAGATGATATAAGGATCTTGGAACGGTTTGACTCAATTTATCCCACTTCTGCTTTTTGTGTTTTTATGATACATTTTAATTCTGTATGCATAAAGCCCCCAAGCCACAAGTATGATTGTTATCTAACATCAATATTCATTTATATTTACTGTGTACTTATCCTTCTTTTTGTCATTTTCTTCCTCATTTTTATCCCTTTGAAATAATTTTCCTTCTATCAGAATTATTTTTTTAGTTTAACTCTCTCAGCATTTTTTTATGTGAAATTTTGATTTCATCTTAATATTTGATTTGAATATTCATCTTAATATTCAAAGGATATTTTCTCTTGGCATAGGATTCTCTTTGATGAGTTGGATATTATTTCATTGTCTTTTTGTTTTATTGTTTCTTTTTTAATGTATTGATACTCTTTTAAGGCAATGTTTCTATTAATGTGACTATTTGTGTGATTGTATTTTTGTTTTTATATGAAGCAGCTTCACTATTGTATCTATCCTTCTTAACTTCTGAACTCAATGGTTGATGTGTTCGATCATCAGCCAAACATTTGTGGCCATTGTATATTCAAATACTGCTCCTGCCCATTTCTCTCTGTGCCTTGCTTATGAGATCCAATTACATGCTTATTAGATCTTTACACCACCTTACAGTTTTCTTCTGCTTTTCTGTATTTTTGTTTTTTCTGTACCTCAGTTTGCCTGATTTCATTAACTCATTTTCTAGTTTATTATCCTCTGTTCTACTGTCTAGTCTTCTTTAAGACACATCTTTGAAGTTTTTCATTATAATTATTATATTTCTCAGTTCTAAAATTTTTATTTATGTTTACATATTCTAATTTGCTGGTGGAATTCTCAATTTTTTCATCTATTTTCTCTAACTTTTCCTGTATTTATTTTAATATGCTAATTATATTTACTTAGAAGTTCTTGCCTGTTAATTTCTAATGTATTTATCATCTGTTCTTTCTTTTTTCAGTCTTTTATCTTATTTTAAAAATTCATGTAGTCTTTTTTTTCCCCTTTCTGGTAATATATAATCAAATGTTTGTCATTAATAAATTTTTGTCACTGTAGCTTCTCCATATGATATTATCTTCCTGAAGAGAGGGTTCGACTTTACTATTTATTTATTTATTTATTTATGGCCAGGAAGTTATAGTGAGTAAAGTGAGGGCTTGATTTAATCAGGGACTGAGCTAAATCAAGATCAGTTACAGCTTTAGTATGATTTTTTTCTACGTCTGGCTTGTTCTCATTCAGTGTACCCATCTACAACTTTTGTACTAGAACTTAGTTTATTTACTTAGGTTATTCTCTCTGGTATGCTGAGAAATGTTTTTTAGTTGTTGTTTACTCAATTTGGCAAGAGTGCAAACATCTGCCATCTGTTTATCTGAAGCTGTTCAGCTTCTTGGCTCTCACCTGTGTAGCTTTAGAAAATGGCAAATATCCGGTGAGGAAAATTTGTCAAGTGTCAGGGTCACTCTACCCCTCTCTTCTTGCTAGAATCTTAGCTCCACAGATCTCAAATTTCATCTTTAAGCCTGGGAATCTACCAAAGCTTTGCTCTTTTCTTTGTCCCTGTAGTTTGTTCTACAGCAGGAGGAAACCCTGGATTATCAGATGCTTATCCTGAAACCAGAATTGGCAAATATCCTGAGGAAAAAACTATTTTCAGTCCAAGAGCTTTAACTTTGTCTTTTAACTTTGTCTCCATCCAAAATCTTTAGTCTCCCTAGTTCTATTTACTCTTGCAGTTCCCCGGTGCCTCCAGGCTGCTATAACAAAGTATCACAGACTAAATAGTTTATAAACAACAAAAAATTATTTTTTATAGTCCTGGAGTCTGGGAAGTCCATGACCAAAGAAAAAGGTGTCTGACTTATAGATAGTGTCTTTTCACTGTGTGGAAGGAAAGGAGGAAAGGAGGAAAGAAGGAGCTCCCATGGGTCTATTTGATAAAGGTATTAATCTCAATCACAAGGGCTCTGCCCTCCTGACCCAAGCACCTCACAAAAGGCCTCACCTCCTATCACCATCACCTTTTGGGTGACGACCTCAACATACAAATTTTGAGGAGGATACAAACACTCAGATCATAGTACCCTTGTATATGCTCAATTAATAAACATTATTTTTAGAGTAATTTTAGTTTTATAAGAAAAATTGAGCAGAAAATGCAGAATTCATATGCACTTTAAAAAAATCACCATTTATTGTTCTCAACAGGAATGTTGGTCTATTTCAAGGCATTCCACCATGCCAATACCTGGAATTACATCTGAAGCAGTATCTCTCAAGGTGATCAATACACTCAAAAGGAAACACTTAAAAATCTAACACAAGTTCTCTAAGTTGTAAACAATATACACATCTATTTAAATAAAAAACCAGGAAAATATTTTCAGCAAAAATAAAAAGTGTGAATATCTATATTTATATACAAAGAGGTCATTTAAGTTAATAATTAAAATATTAATATCTCAACAGCTGGCTGGATAGTTTGTAAAAGGTTTTAATGAGGAGGTAAATTTAGTAACTAAACATTTAAGAACTTGCCAGGCCAATGAGCCTATCGAAAATGAGAATGAAAATAAGTATTTTTTTCCCATCAAATCAGCTCTGATGGGTGTTAGATATTACTTCTTAGGAACTGGACTCTGCTCTGTACTGCTAGCAATTAGCTGAATTTTGTTTTAAACTGAAAAACAGTGCCTTGAAATCCTGGTGGTATCACCTGCCTTATCACAGGAACTACTACCATTTTGAAATTGCTGCTGACTCCATTCCAATGTACTAGCTTATACTTTGATACTCTCAGAACAAATCAAGCCTGAGTTTGCCATATCCTCTTCAACCATGATTTGATTTGCTCACCACCATTCTTGTGGTTCACTATGTGATCAAATGAATTCCTTTATACTTTCCCTCCCCATTCCTGACTTTCTTCTCTTTCTATAATAAAATCCTATTATTACTACTAATAAAGTAAATATGGGTTATAATAATATCCACCATAAATGTGCCAGTGGTAAAACTGGCAATTTCAAACACTGCTAGTGCCAAAGCAAGCTAGCAAACTATGTTAGGAAAGCAGAAATGTATAATGTAAGCGACTAAGTATACAAAAATAAGAGAGTGATTAGGAAAAGTGTTTATCAGTTTTATATATTTTTATACACACAACCCCTAGTACACATTCACTTTTAAATGACTTACAAAAATATTTAGAATATCATGGATAAAATAAAGACACAAAAAGTCAAAAAAAGGAAGGGGGAAAATGAAATCAGAGATATTAGCACAAAAAATATATATGGGATATTGCATTATAGGGTTTTAGAGATAAACTGCCCTCTGTTTTTTTATCTTCCCACCAGCCAAGAGGAGAGAAAAGCACCATCAATTATAATGCCCACAAATGTCTAAAGATAAAACAAACCAGTTGATTAGAAACAATATGGTTTGTCCTGAAACATAAGAGAAATTTCTGCATAGATAAGTTCCCTTTCACCTAGATCCATTTTTTCAAAAATATTTTGTAAGAATAAAACTCCTTTTTCAAAAAATGTCTCATGCAAATCCCCAACATTTAAACCAGTAAAGTAGATAAAATGGACCTGTTCAGGTGTAAGTAACTTGGTAGGATTTTCTCGGCAAAGAGAAGTCTTAAAAATAATGAAAGAGTGCAGAGGAAAGAACACCAACGTCCAGATTAGGCAGACTAGTACAAACACCAATTCAATCATTTACTGTCTGAGACTGAACCTTTTAAAATCAGTTTTCTAAGCTTTGAAATGTAGTATTCCTTCATTGCAGGGTTATAAAGATTAAATAAAAGCCAAAAATTATGTAAGGCACCTGGTACATAGAATGTGCCAGAAAAATACTGATTTCCTTTCTTCTTCTCTGCTTTGGTGATTCATATTTCAAGATTTTCTTAAGCTGATTTTGTTATTATAATATATTTCTATATTAGTTACTTTACAGATAAGAGTTTTGTAAGCCAGAGTTTATTCATTAATTTATTAATAATTAAGGTCCTCGTACTTATGTCAGATTCTCTGCCAGGTACTGTACTAGGTGCTGGTATGATTATTAATCTTATGATGATTAATTTTCCTTTATAGCTGTAGTTATATTCTTTTTCATATATAATGTTAAATATATGCAACTTCTTTTTTATTGATTTGCACTTTCTGCAGTTTATCTCCTTTAATGGTCTTTTGAAGAGCTAATGTTCAAATTTAATCATTCTACTTGTTTTTCTTTATAAATTATTAAACTACATTTGTATTTTTATTAATTCTTCATTGCTTTTCTCATACTCAGAATAATTATTTCTAGCTTCTTGACTAGACTGATAAATCCATTTATTTTCATTCTTTCATATTCAACATAAATTCATTAAAGCATTAAATTTTCTTTGGAGTTAGGTTTGGCAGTATCTCACCAGTTTTAATCCTTCTGTAATTATAATTTTGATTTCATCTTTTATCTGAGTTAAGAGAACCTTTCTGTTCATCAGAAGCTACTAGTTGCTCCAGCACCTCAATATCAGTTAATCTCTTTTTACATAATAACGTATTTTTTAGCTCACATGACCACCAGCCTAAAGAGTGCTACTTCCCAACTTCTCTTGTAGCTGGGTTTGCCATGTAACTAAATTCCATGAGGAGATACAAGGGAAAGTGATGGAATGATGAAATGGGGCAAACTCTTATTCTGAAAGGAAAAGTATGTCTTCCTCATCTTAATGCCTGAAATGCAGACATGAAGGAGACAGGACCTGGAGCAGCTACTTTGGACCCCAGGGTGGAGATGGCCTGTCGAGGTGTGTGGAATAAGCAAATATTAATAGAAGAAGCCCAGGTGCCTGGCACCAAGGAGCTCCCCTATGTTTACAAAATAATTGTTTGTGAGAAAGAAAGAAATTTCTATTTCATTTAAAACTCGTTGAAATCCTACATCTGCAACTGCCATTATAACTAATACAGTTAATAATTTTTAGTTTCATTGCATTGTTGTCGAAGAATATATAATGTACAAAGTCTGCCTGGAATATATTGAGATATCTTAAGTTACCTCATAGGTGATTAAGTTTTGTAAATATTTTCTGTATTGTTGGTTAGTTTTTAAAGTTATTTAACTGTGTGTGTGTATGTGTAAGTTTCATATGTATTTATATGTGGCTCAAGCTATCTAATCAATCACCTTACTACTTTCCATACTATGCTCTATAAAGCACTTCTATGGAAATTGATAGGTTCACCTCAAATAAAAAGTTTAATGGTCCCTGTGTGCTCTGCTTCCTGTTTTTATTGTAGTGGTAAATAGACGCTGGACCAGATTGTCGAATCCTAGCTTCCTCAATGTACAGACTGTGTGGACCAGGCAAGTTATTTCATCTCACTTTTCCTCAGATTTTATATATAATAGAGAAAATAATAGTACCTACCTCATAGGATTGCTAGGAGGATTTAAGTGTGGAACATTTAGAACAATGTCTGGCAGAGAGTAAGCATATTTTTAAACAGCTACATATTGAGACACTGCCTGTAAGAGGCTCTGAAAATTAATGAAGTAATGGAATATGTTTAATATTACTTACCCTAGCATTTCCAAAACTTATTTGAGTGGTCATAACCAGTTGGGGGAAAATGATGTGTTCATAGGAATATTGGGTTTTGGAAATGTTAGATTATTCAGCTCCACTGCATATTGGGAAGTTTTCATATAACATGGGATACATGAATGCCATTTAGGAGTTCTTTAAACCCCTGAATATTGATGAGTTCTATGGGTATATGCTTGTTTCTCTGTACATACTAACTGAAGACAAGACCCATGGAGTATATCTGACTCTCATATTTCTAGATATGTGTTTTTATGATTAACTGAAATATCAGAGACAAAAAAATAGTGTAAGTCTTCTACCGTTTAATTATTCTTTTCTTCTGTTTCTGGTTAATCTCCAAGTTAAGCCTGTACATTATTGAGTTTTTTGGATTTTCATCCTTTTAATATAATTTAACATTTCATCACAATCCTTTCATATTTTAAGTTACTCTCTTACCATTTCATATGAACATTGTCTCTTTAAATAGCTTTCTCCTGTTTTTATGAAAAAATAACGCTTCCTTCTGTACTTTTGGGAATGCTAATTGTTTTCTAATAGTATTTTTTTCTGGTTCCTGCAGCAAATCATTTCAGAAACAAAATCCTTCTGCTAGGTCATCCAGATGTTGTTTCCTTTCTATTATTTTGTATTGTTATTTCATATATTCAAGTTTGGCCTTTATTTTATTTATTTTCCTCATTCTTAAAGAAGACAGTAGCTAATTGCACTTAAAGTATATCAGTTAAGATGGCGAGCAAACCATCTTGTCCCAGCACATTTTCCAACAGTGATTCTGAAAAATCTTTTCAGATGTAAAATTGATAGGGAGGATGATACATGTATATTTCCCATACATTTCAGCTTCTATTCGGTTTTGCCTATTCCCTTCCTCCTTTGAGAGGACATCCTTTTATGCCCTGGATTGCTACTCTGATACTCCATAATAATGCAAATATTTCTGTATAACATGTAATTGACTAGGATGCATAGTGGCCAGAGTTTTTCTGGATTCTATAAGTTTCTGCTAGGACTTACTCATAGACTTTATAAATCTAAAAACCACTGTGCCATCTCAAGGATCCTACTTCCAATTGTTCTCAGTTTTCTGGTTTTTTTTTAGAACTGAAGTCTCTACCTGAATATGGAAAGGTATAGGTGTGAGGTAAATGAAACAATATTTAGTCCAATTCAACTAACGGTAGCTAAGAAATAGAAAATGGCAAGTGCCTTTCTTCTGGGTGAAATAGTCTCTAGGGGCAGATTTTAGGATGCTTCAATGTATAAGCATTTAACAAGACAGCCCTTTTATTTCTCACATCAATAGCTCCAGCTCACCGTAGGATAAAACAGCTAACTTCTTCTCAAAAAAAAAAAAAAAAAAAAAAAAATCTGTTTCTCTTTCCGTATTCAAAACTTTGGCTGATACACTCAACTTTCTTCAAATCTTCCACACTTGAGAACTTGTAATGTAGCCCACGAAGCCATGTGGTGTAGTGTGAAGAGCAAAAGACTTAGAAGCAGATTATCTGGTTTGAAAAACCCAGTTCTGAGTATTAAATTTGTCTGAATCTTCATTTCTAGAGTGTTGTAATCTATATAATAATCATATCTTCCCTACCAATGCCAAATAATTTTCATAGTGAATAAATGGAAATCTAGACTATTTTGAAATTACAAAGTTTAGAAAACAAATATATCAGAAATTTCAGGATGCAACTAAAGCAGTTGTGAAAACGAAATTAAAACATCAAATGTTTTATGAAAAAAGAAAGGTCTCAAATTCATGTTCTAAATCTGCACCGTAACAATATATAAAAAGAGTTACAGTTTCAATTCAAAGAAAGCAAAATAAAGGAAACAATACAGATAAAATCAGAAAGCACTGAAATAGAAAACAGAAAACAAATAGAAAAAAATCAGTGAAACTGAAAGCTAATTTTGGATGAGTTCCATAAAATTAATAAACTTCTTGCCAAACTGTTCAAGAAAAAAAAAATAGAACAAACACACAAATCACCAATGTCAGAAATAGAGAATATAATTGCAAATGTCATCAAAATAAAGGAATAAGAAAAAATATTATCAACAACTGTTGCCAATAATTTTGATAAATTCAATGAAATGGACAAATTCCTCAAAAGAAACCTCCAAAGCTCATTCAAGAAGAAATAGCTCTATATCTATTAAAGAATTGAATTCTATTAGTGAATTCTACTGAATATTCAAAGAAGAAGTACTGACAATTCCACACAAACTCTTGCAGGAAACAGATGAGATAGAAAGACATTTAAACTCAGTATAAGACTGGCATTAACCTGCACTCCTACCAGACATGAAATTAAAAGAAATAAAATTTCAGACAATATTATTCATGAATATAGATGTAAAAATCTGTAACAAATACTAGTTACTAAGATCTTTACCAATTACATCTGTCCTAAGATCTATTTGTTTGTGCAGTATTTTTATTTCAATCTCTGCAACATCATCTACTTCTTGCTTTCCATTCATTCTGTCCCATTTCACAGTCTTAATAACAATCATCTGAATTATTAAAAATTTCCAACTTGTCTCCCACACCTTCACTCTGTTCTTTTCACTGCCCTCTATCAGAGTTTCCCTAAACTCAACATCTCCTTTGATAGTTTGCAGGATTATTTAATATAATTAGTATCCCTTAGTCCAATATTTGAAACTATATCACTTTACTGTTGTATCCTCAGTCAGGGAAACTCCATCATCTTACTCTATCTTTCTAATATTAGTGCCTTTACTTCATTATATTATTTACATCAAATCTTAGCCTGTTAAAATCTGACTTCTTCCTCAATTTTAATTTTTCCACCTTAAGGTTTCAGTGCTAGTTGAATAATTACCATATTTCACCTTATATAATAGCTGAATACAGCATTTTTGTGGTTGTTTACACATATTTGGAACATAGCAGATGTTACCAGAGTTTACTGTCTTTCTATGGGTGATGCCTGGCTTTATAGGTTCCAGTGCTATTTGGTTTGAACAGTTATCATATTTCACTTTACATAATAGCTGAATACAGTATTTTTGTTCTTGTTTACACATACGTGGAACATAGCAGATGATACCAGAGTTTACTGTCTTTCTATGGGTGATGCCTGGCTTATAGGTTCCAGTGCTATTTGGTTTGAAGAGTTAGCATATTTCACCTTATATAATAGCTGAATATAGCATTATTGTTCTTGTTTACACATATGTGGAACATAGCAGATGATACCAGAGTTTACTGTCTTTCTATGGGTGATGCCTGGCTTTGTAATAAGACTATACAACTTAATATTGTTGTGTAGTATACTTAATGATTCTCTGAGTTCTTATCATTTAACATAGTATTGTGGACACACAAATGTTAGATTATTAATAAATACTTGTTGATGCTGGGATCAGACAGATTTAGTGGTAGATTAGAATAAATCTTGACATATCTGCCTCTTCCAGATGCAAGCATCATTTGGGAATATTTGAGCTTGTTTCTGTCTCTATTTAGCAGCACTTTTTAAACTGAAACCACACATGTCAGAATGTAGGGATTTTCTATATGCCTGGTTCTGTAATTTTCTTGCCCAGTGAATAATAAAAGTATTTTCATACTTTTGGTTCGTTCATGGCTATCCTTACTTATATCCTTAGTCATCCTTGATCCTCTTTTTCCCTTCCCAACTCCAGGCTTGCATAAGCATGCTTCTTCCATTCAGTGGAAGAATTTCCTTAATGCATATAACTATAATACTGAGTTTGAATATTTAAAACATTCTTTCATCTAATACATACACAACTTGGAGGAATGAAGTTTCCACTCAGCTACAAGAAGTATTAATTTTTCCCATTTATTGTGAAAGATACACATCACCAATGCAAATATATACCTGTTCAAATGCACAGAGGTAACTCATTTTAGCATAATTTCTTATGCCGCCTAGGAAATTCTCTTACCTTCAATTTGAGAGGATATTGCTTAAAAAATACTCCTCTAAATATTGCATTCAATATGTAGGCACTTTCATTCTTCTATTGTTCAGGTTTATATTCAAAAACCACATTTAAGACGTAATATAAAAAACATCAAAACATTCAATATACAACAAATCGCCCTTAAGGCTTCCCAGGAATCAGATATTATTTGTACACAAGAAATAGAAATGTTGAGTCAAAATGTCATAAATCACAAATTTAGAATTTAAATGTTAAATTTAATTTTTATTATTTATGTTTTTATTTCAAAATAAAACCATCAAAAGTGACATCAACATTCATACCTTCTGACTATATCTAATCCATAAAATAGAAAAAATAGAATCTGTAATTTTTGCCAAATTCAAATAAGCAGCATGTCCAATAGACTTAAAATTAATGAACATATTGCAGTTAGAATTAATTTTAAAACATTTATTGAGCACCAACTATGTGCCAACCATTATGTAGGATGAGATGAGCATTTTCTTAGTAAAAGATATAAACAAATTTAGTTTTAATTTTAAAAAGAACCCTTTACCGGGAAAATGTAATCAGTAGTTTGTCTCTCAACCTCAGAACAATTAAGTTGTCCCTGTTTCCAAATACCCAATTGGAGAGTTTCCAACTTTTCTACATCTCTATTGTATTAGGAATAATGTTTCTAGCTCACTAATTTTGCTGCTAATCAAACACTAAAAAGAGATTCTTTATACTTTCAGTTATGCTTTGAAAAAAGCCCCCCCCAACATATGCACCAGGAAATTATAAGTTCATTAGTAGACTGTTTTTCAAATCTTAGATTCATGATTTATTATGTTACCTTAGAGATAAAAATACAATTTTACACTTATATGACAATAAAAATAATTAGGATTAATATCTGATCATGAGTTTAATCTTGAAATTAATCTATAGGCATCTCTAAATATTTCAAATAAAAAACCACCTTTAATATTTTATCACAAACAATACTCAAACCTGAATTATACCATTTAGAGTAACGCTTTTCAAAAACATGCAGCATTTCTGGATTTTAAAAGAATTTCCATATTTTATAATATAGATTCTAATATATACAAACCTAAAAATAAATACAGACTGCATTTTAGAAACATTCACCATGCTTCTTATTTGATTCTTTCTTCATTCAGTTAAAGTTTATGGCTACATATTTCTTTCCTTTTTTTCTTTTTTGAGACAGAGTCTTATTCTGTCACCTAGGCTGGAGTACAGTGGCACAATCTAGGCTCACTGCAAGCATACCTCCCAAGATCAAGTGATTCTTGTGTCTCAGCCTCTGTAGTAGCCGGGACCACAGGTTCAGGCCACAATGCCTGGCTAATTTTTTTGAATTTTTAGTAGAAACAGGGTTTCACCACATTGGCTAGGCTGGTTTAAAACTCCTGAGCTCAAGCAATCCTCTCGCTTCACCCTCCCAAACAGCTGGCATTACACGCATGAGTCAGCATGGCCGGCCATGGCTACGTATTTCAACGGGAAATGGATTGCCTGTAATCCAGTGATATGACATAACACTACAAATCACTGAAGCACATATCACATCAATTTTGGCCATAGAAAATGCCTGAAGTAGTAATCATATGCCACTAAAGCCTAAATTAGCACTGAGACCAATTCATGAAATTTAACAAAGCACTAAGCCCTCTAAAACACTTTACCTAATTTGGAAAGACTTTCCCCAATTTCTATAAAGTTGTATAGCACAATATATCCAAGTTACAGGCTTGAAGAAATCTGAACCCAGCTCATCCTCCTAGGAATATAAATTGAACAGACCTTATGGATATGTTTTTCTTGCATTAACTCTGGTAATAACTGTTTACTAGGCATAGTGTCAAACCATTGGATAATATATTTGTGTGTAAACAAATTATTTGCTTACAAAGCCCAAAGAGGTAATAAATCCCAACAAGATATTTTTCTCATAGTTCTTGTGATATGGTCTATGCAACTGCAAGTAACAATGTGAAGTACATTGACATAAGATATTCTAAAAGAAATTTAGGGCTAAAGTGAGAATTGGGGAGGAGTTTTTCATTTTTTTTTTCATCCTGACTCAATTATTTCTTTAGTACCCAACTGATTTTTTTTTCTTAAACATCTTCTCTCCTCACAAGGAAATACATATAAATACATAAGAAAGTGGTCTGCTATTTACTGTCTTATCAAAATATTAAAAATCATGTTCAGAATAAGAAGTTGAAAAGAGAAAAACACATATATACATATACGTTCATAAAAATATTGCCAAGGAAAGTTATTATACATTTTTTTCCAGGATATCAAAGGCCATGCATGTAAAAAACTATACATCTCTTTATTTAATGTACTGTGGATGAGCTCAGTGAATCATCAAAGTTATTTGATCAAATAATTT